AAAATGTCTTTAATTCTTTGAGGAACAGGTGTGAAAAGTGCTTGGAACAAGGAGGGGGACACTTTCAGCAGCTGCTTTAATTTATTGTTATAACAAGGAGGGGGACACTTTCCGCAGCTCCTTTAATTGTTTGTTATTGTTATCACGATTATTCTTTAAAATAAAGTTATATAGTCATTAACGTTATTGAAACTGACAGCTGCTATACAGCTCGTTGAGAAATGAGGTTAAGTTGGTCGCTATAAGCTACTCCCTACGTCCAATGTGTCAGAGCCAACTTCGACCACATTTTTATTTGAACGCTCGTTATAATTACCTTTCGATTATTTTTTGCTGAATTTCGATATCTTGATTTGGGCAGAAGATATACGCGCTCGTGTTTCGACTTTATAATTTTGTAAACGGCCGCCATTTTGAAATTGGGGGTCCGGATTGCGAGTATTTGTTGAGTACCCCAACAGTTATATTTTCCTGCAGTTTCGTCCAATTTCAGTCAATTTCATTATTTTTATTTAATGCTGAAAATCTTGCCCATTTTTTTCTTCGCCGCTAATTTTGCAAATATAAAAAAAATTGCAAGCTTTTGCAAAACCCTATTCATGTAGAAAATTTCCTCAGGAGCAAAATCGACAAGTATACCTCATGTCGATTAGAGGCTTATTTTCGGAGATATAAGCGAAAATCTGAAAAAAGAGCAATTATTTTTTTATTTATTTTGTTATAAACAATATGTCGCTCGACCTCTACAGATACACAAAATTGGGCTTTTATTCTGTGTATTTCTTATTTCATTTTAAGTCCACAAAATTCGAGTTAGGCCCCATTTTTGAAACAAAGGCATGTTTTTGGTCTAATTCGCCCGGATTATGTAGGCTGAGTGGAGCAATGACATTTAGATATGACACATACTTTGAAGGTTATATCTTTCCTACACTGTAGAAACTGTTGCAGTTACTTAACTTATTCTAGACATAACAGTTGTTGACATATTCAGAAAATTTACTAAATGTGGATAATTTCGGTTTTTGGTGAAAACAAAAACATATGCATCATTGTATATTAAAAAACTGTCGACACCCGATTTAACCGAACTTGTTTAAACGGAAAAAGTCGCAAAAAAGTTACAGGGTGTTTGTTTCTTTTTTATTTCTTGTTTTCTCCTTAACTTAGTACCCAGTTAAGCGATTTTAGCAGAATTTGCTGTTGCTTAGTTTCTATAATTTGTAAACTCATTGTGACGAGGCATTTTCAGAAACAAACTTTTGTAAAACATAAATTTGACAGTGACTTATCGAAATTGTGAATTTGTTATGGATACGTAGTTATTTCCAAAAAATGTGAGGTATGTGTTAATAAATATTTTCTGCAATATCCTCATAACCGAGCATAACTTCGATTTTCGATAGGTACGCATTTTTTGTGTGAAATAAAATTCTCTTCCTATATCTGAAAGTTGCATGTAAAAATTTAAACATACAAAAAAGTTACAGAAGAATATTCGCAAAGGGTTGTAGTAAAACGAACGCCCTGTATGATTTAACCTAATAGGAACATAATCACTGCATACTTCATGAAAAGAAACAAAGCAACAGCAAACTGGGTTCTCAGTTAAGGAGAAAACAAGAAATAAAGAATGAAACTTTAACACCCTGTAACTTTTTTGCGACATTTTTCTTATAAGCAAGTTTAGTTAAATCGACTCCATTTGGGATCTAGACTACATCCGTGAAGTATGTAACATTCGTTGTACGTTCGCATACTGACCTCCGGTCTGGTAACAACTTTCGAAGCAATCACAAGCTGGCAATTGCTCTCCTTTCCTAATTTATTGTTTGTCACCTCAACTTCTATGTCGAGGTTTTTCGTACTCAGGATTTTAATCAACGGTTGCACTAAGGGTTCATCCTGTAAAACTAACTTTATTATTGGCGATAAAAGTTCTGCATCGTCGTCTGAAAAATCGTCTATAAGTTCCACGACTTTAAGTTCCTGCACTAATGTGTTCTCTAATATTATGTGGGTGTTAACTCGGACAGAGTTGTGTAAGTCTAGATTCGTAGAATTCGGAAGGAACTGTATGCTTTCTAGTACGGGTTCATTTAAATGTTTTTCCCTTGGTACTGAATTGGTTATAACTCCAGTGATGGCTATACCTCCACATCTGTTGATAAAAAAAAAAGGATCGTTTTAAGATAATTTTATCAGTAATAAAATATGTATCTTATGGGAAAAACTTTTCATTAATTCACTCTCGCAAAATGTATCAATGGGTTTTGCTTAAAATGTAATGTCAGACGGCATGCACCAAAACAATCACTTAAAAGCCATTAGCACAATAAGTAAAAATAGAATGAACTATAACCGATTCGATCGATCGATTTCGTCGCGCAGCGTTTATGCCCCGCCTTCCAGCGGAAAAGACGGCTTTGGCGTTCGTTCAGGCGAGTAACGGGCAACGGGTAGTAAGTATTGCAATCATAGGCGTGGGTATAATTTCGTTGATTTATTTTTATTTTATATAATAATGAAAATGAAGATACCTTATTTGGACAATTGCAAATGCCAGACATTCGATATTTTTTTCATAATCTTACTAAAAAAATGACCCTTGAAACATATCCGCATGTTGTCAAACGTTACTAGTGGTAAAAAATTGTTTAAACAATTTTTTTTTTAAACAAGTTCATAATTTTCGATTTTTTCACTTGAAATACATTTTTGTAGGCTTCTTGGGGTATCTTGAACAAAAGAGTTCCTATGCAACTTTTCTCTAAAATCTACCGTTTTCGAGATATTAACGATTTTTTGTTTGAAAAAAAAAACGCGTTTTTAACCATTTTCTTCTCTAAGGATTAGGTCAGTAAACATGAGCTTACAACAAGGAATTTTAATTACTCTTCAAGTTTTCTTCGTAATAATCCGTATTAACTCCAAGTACAAAACCTATTACGTAGGTATCTAAAATACCCATTTTCTACTTTTAATGTCATACCACGTAATATTCATTCAAATTTCATATTATTAAAATTACCTACTACGGTACTGTCAGATAGAAACTAAATATTTTATTTCAATAATAAAAATTCTTTTAATCCAGCCCGGACTATTCCGCTTAATCAGAGAGAGTTAGCACGATTCCGTCTCGCTTGGTTCTCGACCGCCACATCAAAGGCGCCGACACGGACTCTTCGAGCTGTATATCATTAAGCTGTGCTATAACCTCTTTGCAATTCATTCAGGGGCTTGATTTTTGAAAACAGGAGAACAGATTCCCCAGAGAAAAAATTCACCTGACAAATTTCTCTTAAAAACTTAAATACTTATTTTTGAACGTTGAAGGAATGCCCACATACTTCTATCCGATAGAAGTATGTGGGAATGCCATTCTCTAGAGAATTTAATTTATGCCGTATATCGAGGATATATCTGCAACTGACCAATCAGCGGGCAGAGTTTTCTTCAATATTTCAGTGTCATTATTGGCTACCCTGATGTTTAGTCACTTGATTTGATTTTGAAGTTTGTTTTGTAAATGTCATTATATTCGTCAGGGATACTAGATATCTCCATGACCATGATATTCGTAATAATTTAATATAACTTCAATTTGAATAAAGTATATTTGAAAACACAAAAAATTTAATATTATTATAATTATGATGAAACGTTAGTTCACGTCGAAAGCACAAAAAAGAAATTAATATGCTTAGAAATAGAAACAACGAAGAACTTTTTAAAATCAAAGTTTTCTTCTACTTTTACTCACAAAAAGGCCCAAGAACAATGGTCAGATATTGCTGATGGTTTACAATTTCTGCAGCTTGCAAATTATTCATTATATTTAGATTTAATAATAAATTATTTGGATCTATTACAAATTTCAAATTTCAAATGATTACGCACCTTCGAACAGCGAATGAATCAAGTGACGCGCATGAGCATGAGATGACATTCGGATTCAAACTATTAGGAGAAAACGCCAATTCTCCCGACAAAACCCTGTGGAATTATTTCTCTTGATATCTAAAGAAAATATTCCACAAGAAAATTTCAAAAATCACATTATCTGTGTCAAGAGAAAATGACGTAATTTTCTCTTGACACACTTTCAAAAATTAAGCCCCTGTACAATTTCCGCGATGGGTATTACGTCATCAGTTTAGACTTCTCGAAAAATTTTTCGAATTTATTTGAAAGGCTATATGAGCAAAAGCATTTTCTTCAGGCCATTTTTGCTTGTCTATTCAAATATGGAAACCGATTTTTATTGTGACGTTTCACCTTTCAGCAACCATCATCAGTTTCATTAATTTAAAATAAAAACCTATTATTATTTTCACGCCATCGTTTTCTTTATATTCTTTCGAGCCCAATGATGTACAACTTTCAGGCTAGAAAACTTATCATTGTTTTTTCGAAAATTTTCAAAAAACTCATAAATCTGAAAAATAAGGAATCAATATTTTCGAATAAAATTTTCTAGAGGCCGCTTTTTTAAATTTTTTTGTAGTCTTATTTGAAACATTTGCTTAATACACTATAAAATAAACAAATCTTAACAAAACTAAAATTAGAATAAAAACTCAAAAGTTAAGTGAACAAATACGTGAATCCAGTATTTCTTGAAACTGTTTTCTAAAGTACATTATTTATGTCTTGTTAAGATTTTGTTATTTCTTCATATGTCGCTAATTTATGCCTTTTCAAATAAATCGAAATTAAATATCAAATTCTCAAAATTTTGCGATAAATTCGTTTGGAAAAAATAAATTTTTAACAACTGTTATTTTGTGTCAATTGTTCTTTGAAATTTAAACAGTTACTTTAAAAGTCCTTGAAAAGATCTACAAATTGATATTTATACTATTACGATGTCTTAAAAATAATAGGATACAGGCTTAAAAAGTGTTAAATGATGGATTCTATACAGGGTTACAATTTTTTAATTGTCCAACACAGGTATCTTTCTTATTTTAAGAGATACAGAAATGGTTAAATGACCAAAAATGTACAGAATTTCATACTGATCACGGATTCCATTTTAGAAAGTTCCGAATAGTTCGGAAGATATTCGAAGGAAACCGATTTTATGCTATTTCTTTTTTAGTCGTATTTCATTTGTTTTTCAAAATTTTTGGACGAAAATGTGTAGTCTCATTATTAAATAATGTGAGGAATCGATTATAACTTTAAGGCTATTTTAACATAATTTAATAATTTCTTACGTTGTTTGATGACAGAAAAAGAGCATAAATTACTTTTCACTAAACTATCTCTACCTTATTTTTCCTGTGGTACTGTCGCTGTAAACTGGCAAACTAGGAAGCGTTGTATCTGAATCTCTACAAGTTTCTTTGACCAGCTCAAAATGCACATCAGCCACTATATTCAGTTCAGAGATAAATATCGGCACTTGCAACAATCTACTGTCGCTCTGCAAAGTCTTCAGTTGGAGCATGTTATCCATAAAAGCTGTCCAGTTTTTATGCCACTTGATATAAGCTTTGGAGGCACTGAGGTCAGTTTCTTCAATCGCCCGAAATTCTTCACTATAACAACATACTTAATTATATTTTTCTCTCATCACCATCTAGGGTGTTGTTTAGGTTGAGATTTTCCTTTTAACTCAATAATGTAAGAATACTTTTCAGGGAACATTTTTTTAAATTTTGAGAATGAGGTCAAAGCCATTTGAAGCCATTCGAATACCCATCTTGAAAAGCTTTATATAACATTCAAACTTTAGTAATAGTAATAGATCTGGAAGTCCAAAAAACATTTAGGAATCAGTTATTTTATCATAGTGTCTTATACTGTATTTCTATTGGTGTATATAACGGTTCATATTTATAACAGTAAATTTATTTAGTATATACGGGGAGTGTCGTCAAAATGCTGCCAAAACATCGCGATTGTATGCCGAGCGTATTCCTTTGCGATTTTATCGCCCAGCTCGCAGGTTTGTTCATATTGTTTAAAAACGGATGTATAAAACAACAATTTTATTATAAAATAAAATTATTGCCCTTATTGTTTGTTGTTTAAAAAAAATGTGTTAGGTATGCACTTTCTTCTTCTATAAGTAAGAATTAATTTAATACAATTAATGATAAACATCAATAAAAACTAAATAAACTGCTATAAATAAAAGTAGAAAAACCAAATCACTATAAATGGGTGTCTTACACAGATCACAGAAACAATGTGTCTTATAGTTCTAAGAATTAAACATAAACAGCGCTCCAAGCGGTTGCGCCGAGAACTATTTGTTAAACGCGGGAGATTTGAAACATGAAGTAGATAAAAATGTTTTTGGAATCTAACAGGCTCCTCGATTTATTTTCACTTTTGAAATCGAGGTGCTTATGGTAGAATTAATTTTATTTCTTATGTTTTTGTACTACTTTCAATTAGATATAAGTAACAATATGAAGATGTACTATAAAATATAGCTAAATTCTCCATGTAGATAAAACAGGAATTTGTAGATAATAAAAATAATAAAGTTGTTACAATAAAATAAATTATCGTTTTTTTTATTCCGACGAAAAAACACAAGTAAACGATATAAAGCAGTAAGTCGGTAATTAACATCAATCAACCTCAACCATTCTTGGAAGAACTGTTTATCTTTTATTGGAATCTAACAGCTTATACAATTATAGAAGAAGAATCAATACTTGGCGAAGGTACCCTCAACAGTTGCTTCATTCCTAATATAGAAAATCCAGAGGCATATGAGGCGTACTTTATTGGCCAATAAAGATGCTGATTTTACAACCATCAAACGACATGTTGGATGGATGAGCTCCTCTGTGGCAGAAAGTTATTTGAGTAGTCTATATCTAACAAACTTGATATTGCAAGGAAAATCCAAGGAAAATATAGCTGTTTCTTACAAGAAGAGACATCCGTAACTTGTGCAAATTCTTCACAAACTTTGGCAGATGTTATGCGTTCCGAAAATGATGGCTACAATGCTACAAGGGTTGTTATTAACGGAAAGGAAGTTAAATGTGATAAAACAAAAAAAAAGAAATGTCTATTATTATAAACGTAAATGTTAATGTTAATAAGTAAATACATTAAATACGTTTATTATTTTTTCATTATTCTACCAGTGAAATAAAGTTACTCTGTTCCACTAGTGGATAAAGTATCACTTAGGATGGTTCATATGTGCGGATAAAAGTCCGATTATAAGGTGATTGTGGATAAATATATTATATACAGCTGTCACTATAATAAAATCCACTTGTCGATGAAATTATGTTTAAATCAAGCACGTTAACGTTAGTCTAAATTTTGTCATGGCTAGAGAGAAAGAAGACGGCGATAATGTAAAAAATAAAAAACCAAATTCAAATTTGGCGTCTTATATCTAATTGTAAAACGCGATATTTCCGGGGTATAGTTTTATTAAACAAAGCCACATTATTTTTCATCGCTTCTGAAAATTACCAAGATAAAAAGTAAAACACCCTATAATAGTAAGGAGCAGTGGCGGCCCGTGGGTTTGAATACAGGAGGGGCGCATTTTGAAGAGGACGTACATCATAAGAGCTACGGGGGGTGTGGGGGGCGGGAGCACCCCGCTTAGCGCCGCTGGCGAAAAATTTTAAGGAATTTGAAGGTCATTGTGTTTTGCAAGTACCCCTAAATGAATACTGTCAGTGTGTAAAGTAGCTACTTAGATACAATGCGAGAAATAAAATTCCAACGTGTGGGGGCTGAAGTGGATAATCGATCAACCAACCCAGTTAGGATGTAATTATGTAGATTACTGTAATAGTTAATTCTGTATAGTTTTTGAAGTTCCTTTAAAAACATGGGCATCACTAAGATGTTTATCTAAAACGGGATCAATTTTTGCACTAAGTATAGTCTATCAGTTCTAAAAATACCTCGTTGTTTACCGAGTTACTTTTTTTATTATGTCCACGAAGAGGAAGGTTACATGTACCATATAGTTTTAAGATATTTATAATTTTTGAAAGAAGCAATCGATTTTTCTTAACTGTTTCGTTATGACTATTTATTTGTTCTGCATAAGCACTATTTAAACACGAAGCAATATTTACTCTTCCTAAAAGTAAAAAACTCACCAACTTATTTTTGTGTTTAGGAGAATTTTCATGTTTCTTAATTTTAATTTCTAAATGTTTCAAGTCAGAAACTCCAGTTTTCGTCCAGTCTTCTTCGCCTCCTCCAAACAATAAACATACAAAACAAAAAAATCTATTTGTTTGGTCACAACCACAGGGTCTTATCATAAATGTTTTTATCAAATTTGCGAAAGCCGGCCCACTTTTGCACTCTTTCTGCTCTTCAACACTGGCGTTGGACGTCCATTATTTTTCAATTCGACTTTTTCCTCTAAACTTAAATTACTAATAACAAGTTTTTTTATTTCACAAACCCTCATTTTAAACTTAAACTTATAAAATATAATGTCTTAAAAAGCGCCAAAGCAAAAACAAAACACGTATAACCACAGTTCAGTGATATGGGTTACTGCCTCATGGAGTCCCAAAACAAAGCTCGCGAGCCTATCGTCGCCTATCCCCTCCACGTGCCATTCGTGCCAATTTGTCCAATCATATGTAAAAATATGCTTGCACGATGGACTCTGATTTCACGGTCCGCGACGATGGAGTGGGGATTGCGCGCGCGGTCAAACATAACTCTTTGGTACGATCATAGATGGCAGATGGCATTAATCTGAGCTACGTTCACGGAGTACATGCACTTTATGCAACCAACCTAACATCCAAGAGATATTGAAGCATGCTTAGATTTCTTATTGATTTAAATAAATACATTATTTTAAGTTTATAGTTTGAAAATATCTGGGGGGGCGGAGTCCCAGAGTCCTCCTTCACGAGCCGCCACTGGTAAGGAGTTGAATTAACTTCTAGTTTGTTAATTTTCACCAAGTAGAAGTTTGTTGAAGTTTGGCAGGCGAATTATTAGCTTTGTTTTGGTTCTTTATTTCTGAATCCAGAATCATCGCAGAACTAGAAAACGCAATAGACAAAATTCTGAATGATTCGGAACTATCCGGAGTTATTTGAAAACCAGAACGCTTTACAAAAATATACTCATAAAACCCAATAAAAAGATACTTTCTAAAATGAAAAACAGGAAATGAAAAAATTATGAATGACAAACGGAGCTTGGGAAAATGGGAATAACTACGCATGCGCTAAATAATATAGTTCTAAGCAATTCCTGCTAGGGGGCTAGAAATATTTCGGATGATTCAGAACGGTTCCGAATCAAGTTCGAATAAAACCAAAACAAACATCTGTCAAATTCTGAACCGTTCAAAGTAAACACAAACGCATATTTCAGACTGCGCATGATTAGAACGGTTCGGAACCAGATTTTATGGGAACCAAAAAACAAAGCTATTGTGAGCTCCCCTATATAAACCTTTACCTATAATTATATCCTCGCAAACGCAACTCCTTATAAACGTCTTTCTCCTTCAATGGCAGTCCATGGGATTTTAGCGAACTGGGTAATCTCAAATTCCGCACTTCCGTTTCCTTACCGGATAAGAAACTAACTGTACCAGTGGCTACTGCAGAAGTGCCGTGGATTACCTCGAATTCGCCAGTACCAATTAGAATAGAGACCCTAAAAAACAGACTGTCCTTATTCGGAATTCTTGTAGTGCTTAGAAAGCGGCAGTTCCTCAGCGAGACGCGAGAAGTGTTGAGCGGTACCCCGTGCACGAGAGAGAACGTTTCCCATACCATGTAAAGGTATCCTGTCGTGGGGAACAAACGTTTTCCTGAAATAAACAGTTCAAGTAAAGGGGCTTGTTTGAACAATTTCTAAGGTGGTTGTCAAGTGGGTTTAGAATTTTTGATGTTATTTGATGAAGATTAAGTTATCTGGTCGGTACCTATTTACATTTATTTTGTACACTAGTTCGTGCTATTTCAGTGATTAGTTTGAAGTCACAGTCAGATCCTTGATTACGCATAAGGCATAAGTCTTAATACGACATAACAGCAACAAAGGTTTTTGCGACTCGTCATAAATTAGCAACATCAACTTTTTCTGAATGAGAAAACATTTTGTAAGCACAAAAGTTATACGTTTGACGTTCATATAGAGTAATGACAAGTATTTTGTTATATTTATGCACTTTAAACAACGAATATTCAATTATTTTCCAACTACTACTTGATCCTTCCACGGCTAATGTGATGTTTAGGTGGTATTTCTTTTGAGACTCTTTAGGGCGATATTGCCTATAACTTTTAAACGGGAATTAATTTTTCTAATAAAAGTTTATTAGAAAAAAGAGAGCTTTTTAACAGGAAAGAAATTTGGGTATGTTTCTGGAAAAAATTTAATTGATGACGTCATTAGTCGTCTCTGTCAAATCCTAAAGATAATACTACCGATTGAAACAGGAGCTTACCTCATTCTATTTAACACCACGTATCCCAAATTTTATTTTATTTTTTTTATATCCTAAAAGTAGGCCCATACTATCAAGTTTGAGGCACCCTGTACACAACAAATGTAAACACCGGTCAGAGGACTTAATCTTCTGTTCAGGGGTTCCCCTGAAGAAGACATATCAACAAGTGCAACGGCCACGGAACCTGCAAGCCCAGCTGAAGTTGCTTGGTTATTTTATTACAAGAATATCCACTAATAAAGTTTCAAATATCGCCTTTGAATTTTTGCTGTTGAAGTACGTTCCTCATCAAAATCAATTACAATTTTGTTCTCAAATAAACTATCGTTTAACTTAAGATGAAAAAAAAAAACATAATTTTTCTAGAAACACGCTTACCATCTACCACATTATTTACAACGAATGCCCACTGACTGTCGTTCGTTTCAATCCTGTAATGTTTAATTCCATGTTTCGCCTGCCGTATCAGGTCCAAGCTAAAGTTTGGCACGAATATCTCTCTATTGTGTTTCCACCTGACGTAAGGAGAGATCATAGCAGTACCACTGCTAACGGGAAAGTCTACTCGGGGGTACAATCGGTTGATTTGAGGGTTGTAACCGCTTACGTATAAACTACAATGTTGAAAATTATGATATTATGTACAGAGAGAATGTTAGATTCAATAGTATAGTCTTTCCGATCTCAGTTGAAGAACCAAGAGATTGGCAGTATGTATCAGGTTCGGTCGCTGACGCAGCAACTCAGCACTGAAATATTTGAAAAACTTGTTTCCATATTTATTTAGCCATACCCATACACAGGTCTGGTCGGACTAAACGTGGAAATGGTAGAAATGTATACGCCCAGTTGAAGAATGGGCGTGCGTGCAAACAGCATATAACACAGCCGGACTAGGCGAGTAGGCAATAAATCTCAGTTGTTGACAAGTGGTTGATAAATTGCCTAGCAGTGCAGTGCAGCAATGCGAAATTTGGTATGATTCAGGTAATTTTAATTTATTATATGCACTTTCTATTAATCATTCATATTACAAGGGAGAAATAAGAGGGACATTTTGTTTACTAATATTATTGCAACATGGCATTTTGGAGACATTTTGAAATGGAACAAAACTAAATTTACCATCAATACAATAAAATTGTTTAAGGACATAAATAATTGAAATATGTTATTGATCAAATGAACATATAATAGGAATTTTCTACACATTATATACAAATTATTATAATTTTTACCTTTAGCAGAAAACTTTTTTAGGGATGCCTATAAAACTCATTAAATTTTATTGCTAGGCGTTTTTCAACTAACTTCGGAAAGACTATACCAATCTTTTAGATTTAAGCAGGGGTTAAATAGTGATCGCTGATTGGTTGAATAGTATCTCCTGAAAAATTACGCTGATTACAGCCAGCGAAACAGAATAATTTCAATAATTTTTTTACCGAAATTTAACGACCAACATGAAGGAAATAAAATTGCTATTCGAAACAAAATTACTTATCATGTGGCTTGTAAACATTTATGAATGCTCTTACAAGAGTAAAAACCATAGTAAAAATTATAAATTATTATTTGTAAAACTGTGTCGCCAATTTCAAAACAATGCACTCAACGTTCGGATAATCGAGTTCATACTGTCAAAATATTTGCACGTACCTTCCAAGGCTTGTCAAAAATCCCACAAGGTGGTCCTTACTTTCGTTTCCAAAAAGACGAACTACAGAATGTTCTCTATCATTCAAAGTGCCATTACCTATTTGTAAAATTATGGAATTTGGTTTGATGGTGCCAACCTCAATATATCGATTTTTCCTTAAAATATTCATGAAATGATTTGCTCTCTTCGATTTAGCATGGTCCTTTGATAGGATCTTTAGCGAAGCTTCACCTGAAAATCGTTATTAATGTAACAAATGTGCGTATCATTAAGTTCTAGTATTCTGGATGTAGGATCATTGTAATTTTGAGAATATATTCATTTTCAAAAGATAACTAGCGAAGTGCACACAGCGACGTATGTTTTTTATTTTCTATTTGTATTTTTTTCAATGTCATTTCTGGTTTGGCAAAAACATTTCCATAAAACTGACACTTACTGCTTCTTTTGGCCGAAAGGGTTCGTATAATTTATTTTTTTGACATGTACAAAATACCCAAATAGAAAACTAAAAATTTTATTGAAACTCGGATACCTCACAAAAAAGTTACTCACACGTATCGACTGTATCTCCGTTTAAGTTGTACTCATCTTCCAGTCCGATAAAATTTTCATATTCCTTAAAGAGAAGTATTGTTTACAAATCACGCAATTAGTCACCGAGTAATAAAATTATGAATTTTCTTATATAGATTCTTAAATAAAGGGTGTCCCAAAAATAACGCAGGATTGTGCAGGATCACATATTACAACTTGTGATTTATTACAGTAAATAGAATCACATGTTGAGTGAGTGAAGATTGTGAAAATTCATTACAAGTACCGAGAGTATGTAGCTGGGGCTGTGTGCAAAGTCTCTGCAATTAAACATTTCAAAAAGCGCAATGCAGCGGATTTTAACAAAAGATCAGCATCCATTAATGATTCAGCTAACCTAGAAATTCAAACACCACATAACAATTTAATGCGCCCGACATACGCTGATTGGATGTTGGAGAATCAACAAGTGGGCGGTGATTTTGTTAAGAAAATCATCTTTAACAATGAGATGAATTTCTATTTTATGTGAACAAGCAAAACTGTCGAATTTGGGGCAGACAATGCTCAGGTCGTTCAAGAACGACCACTGTACACCCTAAGAGTGGCAGTGTGGTGTGGATTTTAGGCTGATAGAACTTTTTGTGGCCTGATTTTAATGGCATAGATTTGGATGACATTTGTCCGACATCGTCGTTCACATTTAGTGTCTACCTTTTAAAAGCACGTAAAATCTTTGTCGATTTATTAATTAATAAAAACTTTTTTCTTCACGTGAAATCCTGCGTTCCTTTTTTTTGAGACGCCCTTTATTTCTTGCGATAGTCTCTAAAGTATTATGTGTCTGGTTTACGGTAAAAGCGCAATCGATCGTTTCCTCCAGTGTTAAAATCTCATTACAATAAGCCGAAACAAGCTCTCCCAAAGAACAACCGAAGCTGCCATCGAATTTGACGTCTAGTAAACTGAGTAAGTGTATTATAGCGATCTGAACAGCTACTGGGCCTATTACTGAGATATCATCTCTATCAAGGGGTCCATCGTTAAGAAGCACATTCGAGATACTAATTCCCCTGTGTGTTAAATGCTCTTGTAACCTGAAATTAATCAATTGTGAAATATTTTACATGTATTCTTTAAATCTTACCTTAGGATAATGTCCCGGAAGGCTACTACTGCCATTAGTTCCCTGCCAACTTCATGCCAGTTGTTTAATTCGCCGAAAGACAAATACAACGGCTTGTTATACTCCGGGCAATAGTCGAGGGATTTCGTAACACCTCCAAATTGTGGTACTATAGTGTACCCCCTGTACAAGTGATTCTGTATGTTTTTCCTGCGAAATATTTCACTTTAAATATTTTAAGGGATTGGAGTAACAAAGTACTTTTAAAAAAATAATAATATTGTGGGAAACAAATAACATAAGTGTAGTTTTACTCATAGAATTAATATATCTGCACATTTTTAATGGATTTTTTTGTCTTCTAGTCTCTATATTATTTTTATAAAGTCTTTGTAGATCAGAAATTTGTCGGCTGTCCTTTCTGCCATTCATCTGAATATAATTGAAAACCTAATCAATAATCAATGTAGTCCCCACGCATATAAATATAGTTAAAACCATTTTAACTTCAAATGGGAATACGGTTCAACAGAAAAAAGGGGGTAAGGAATCGAGTATAGCTGATTGGTTGAATTAAATGTAGCGCGCTACAGTCGAAGTTCTGTGAACGAAGCATAAGCCCGCACTAGCTCTAGCTGTCTCGCACACGTCTGTGCGTTTGCCGTTTATATCACATACTTCTATCCTATACTATAGAAGTATGTGGTTTATATAGGCACAGAATATAAACACTCTGTGATATACGCAAAATGACAGTTGGGTTGTTGGGCATAGAAAATATAGGTTAGTACTATATTTTCTATGGTTGTTGGGTTGTCCAGTAGTTTATAAGGTCTATTAGTCCACGGGCCCACGTACAAAGAAAAAAATTATTACCAGCAAGCTGTATCTTTGCGTGCAGCTTAAGTTTGACGAGTCTCCCAAGATTTGACTATGAGGAAAATTCAACAGTGGTAAGTTTTCCCGCGATTTTCAGGAAAACATATCAATCTAGCATAGACATGGAATGTTATGACCAGCACTTTTTTTTAAGTTTAAATGAAAGATATACCTATTTTTTTTTAAACCCCCCAAAAGATTTGTCCGACAAAAATGTTGGTATTTTGAGTTTGTCCCCACCCCAAATATGTCGATTTGGCGACATTATGGTTGGTGACATCCAGCAAGCTGATTTTTCTGGGAGGGTTTGGTAATAACATTTGAAATGAAAGTATCTTATTGTCCGATAAAATTCTTGAGAAGTTTTTGCAGTCCGACGCCCCGAAGATGTCGTGTCGTCTTACTTCGGTTCTTGTTGGTGGATCAGACGTCGCGGATTCATTCCCGAGACGCTGTTCCCGGATC